CCTCCTTTTTATTTATTATTTCAGTTTAAAGAGGAAATAGACTAATGCTATAGATTTTTTCAAGATTCATCATTTTTATTGTAGTTTTTTGTTTTTTATTCTGAAAGTCCAAAAGGATTATGTACGTCACGTTGAATTGAGTATCTTAACTATGAAAGAGTACATAAGCATACACGTACTTCATATCCATGCTATGTATAGGAATATCTATATATTTTCAAACCCCGCGCTTTACGGTTTCCAAAATTACAATTATCATTCGACGATATTTTATAATTTTAACTGGAATATTATAAATAAATACTAATTGTTTTCTTATCGCGACAGAAACTATGAATAAAGTTCGCTTGACTGAATCTGCACCTCCAGGTTGCTGTTTTAACCTTGTTCAAATAACGGAACCAACACGAGGGCGGCATCGTTTTGAATCCACAGATCGGAATCCTCACGATAGACTTGAAGTGCTTCGAGGCACTCCAACGGCCATTTGTTTTCAGATGCCACTCCCTGAAGCATTGCAAGCCCACAGCGTCGAAAGAAGGGCTGTGCGTGTTGGCGAAACGATCTTTCGAGTGCCTGAATCACCCTTAGTGGAGATTTTATCGCGTAGGAAGGCAATTCTCCCACGACATAGCACGCCGCACCGGTGTGAAGAAGATTCTGAGAGATCATCTCTGTAAACCTCGATTCCAATAAATCCGAGCTGCCAAACAGCACGAGTTTGGCTATCAGCGTGGGCTGACGGCGTTTTGCGATCAGACTTTTATACAGCCCGTCGGCTATTCGCTCCAGACGTACGGTGCGCGCAGACGGGGTATATTGCAGGGAATGCCCCGTTAACACCTTCACCGCGATGGCGATATCGCGGTCGTCTTTTAAATTGGCAAGCCGCTCCACCACCTCCGCCGGGGTGGAGTGGGGATTATGCAGAAGATACCGCATCGCATATTCCATTCGCGTGGATTGAAGGTGGCTTAGGAATCCAAATACCTCCGAAAGTATCGCGCGATTTCCCAGAAAAGGACTTCCCGACAACCGTCGTAGTGCCTCCAGCTGGACGACGGGGTCGTCCTTTCGAAGGAGAGGGAGAAGGAGCCCATTCATGCGTGCCACCTGCCAGTCGTAATGCAAATTTTCATCCCGAATCCCCAACACCGCCACGCATTCCGCCGAACGGGCACTTTTTACGCTCTTTTCGTAAAATTCCCACACCCGCTCCTGATCCAGATGGCTTCGAAGGCCATCCTGCATGGCAAGCCGGACGTCCTCATGCATCTCGGGGGTGTTTTCACACCGGCGGATGAGAAACTCCAGCGCGTCTGCGTCGGCGAGGGCGCCGAGAAACCGCACGAGGTGCTTTTCCGACGCGATTAGCGTTTTCCCTTCCAGCGCGGAGGCCACGACGTCGAGGACAAAAGGAACCGGGTGGGACTTCAGGCGTGCAGTGATCGCCAGAACCGCCTGACGCGCACGGGAGTCCCGAAGTGCGCTTCGGAGCTCAGCCAAGGAGGCCGCGTCGTGCATCCGGCGAAGCGCAAACACCGCGGTATCGCGAACCCAAAGATCGTCGTAATTCTCTCGGGTGTACGGCCAAAGGGCATCCTCGATTGTCAAGGAAGGCAAACTGGTAATTAACTCGAAAAAATCACCCCTGGCGTAGAATGAAAAGTTATCTTTGACGTAGTGTCGGAGAAGAATCTCGGCAAGAGTACGCTGTTGGGTTAAAGTCAGGCGATAGGCCCACTGAGGATCGAAAAAGCCAATGCACTGATCGGTAAAGAAATGCGATTCATCGTCCGTCTCGGGCAAGGCGCGCAGGAATTTCAAGCAGGTGTTGAGTAATGTGCCTTGATGATGTTTGAATAAAACCCTGCCGAGGATCCTGTCAAGCTTTGTTGCATCAGTACATAGGATTTCTGGAAAAATTTGATGAAGCGCCTCGTGGCGAAACGCCTCATAGTAAAATTCAAGCGCAGGGCTGTGTCTTTGAGGATTTTCCAGCGTCAGGTAGAAATCATAAATGGGCTTAAGGACATTTTTTAAAAGACGTAGTCGCGGGTTGAGCTCGTACCGAATTCTGTTTGGTATCGAATTTTTTTCTTCAAGTATCAGGTCTTTGATTTTTGGGAAAAGTAGGGGGAGAAACCTCTCCACGGAGCTGCAGGATAGCTTGTCTAAGCCTTCTATTGAGAATATATCGCGTTCTATGAATAGATGAAGCTTTTCTGAGGCATATACCGGGAACGTTTCCGCAATCCGCACTAGTAATTTTTGTGCAGCCATCAAGGTGAACTCCGAAACATCTTTGGCCTCAAAATTTTTTTGAATCAGCTGATCAACGTAGCTCAAATGCTCCTGCTTCCAAATCTTCAAGGGGAGATTTGTGAGAGAATCAAACATCTCAGTTCGCCATTGATCTTGTTCATTCATTTGTTTAAGAATGAAAGCCAGAAGGTCGCTCAGGTAAGCAGGATAATAGGCGACGCTGTGGATCAACGCGGTTGCGCAGCTACGGCGGATTTCCTGTTTTGGATTTTTTAGAAAGGGCTGGGAAAGCTCCCACGCCTCGTGAAAAGGAAGCAATCCGAGGTATTCAATCTGTGTGTTGGGGGAGGTCTGCAGGTCTTTGAGGTGAAACATCCGTTTTGCCGTATTTTCGCGAAGAGCCTGGGATGGGATGTATCTCGCAATATTCATCGGTACCACGTTATTATTATTGCCCACACAGATATATCGAATGGAGTCATCGTAGAACTGTTGGCGCGCCGATTTAGGAAGAAAATGGAATAGTTCGGCATTGAAGAGGCTCATTTTGTACATCTCCACAAGGAGAGGCGTGTTGCTTTGCAATCGCTTGATAATACGCCGTGACCTTATGTTGTGATGAAAGGTTTCCTTGTTCTGAACGATGCATTCGCACGTTTCCAATGTTCGAACGCGGAGGTAGATACTGTATACCTCAGACATTCCAATTTTGAACAGATTGGAGATGCAGAGTTTATCTTTTATGAGTTTCATCCCGAGATCTACTTCTTTCTTCCGAGATAGCACACCCAACGCACTTGCTGCTATAAATATTTTGGTGTCTAAAAGCTCCCGTAGAATATATTTTTTATCACCACTTTGAATGTCCTCAGTGCCTGTGTTATCAAGTATGTGGTTTTCGCTGTTTAACTCTGTCTTAAGTCCCATAAGGATTTCTACCATCAATTCAGGATGCAGGACAGTCAATCTGCGGAATACTCTTTCAGGGAGTGCAAATAGATCGTTTACTGGAAGACTTTTTAGTTCATCTTCGGGAAGATGGGGATACAGATTTTCCATTTTTTTCGTGGAGGTAATTTTATAGGCCGTTTTTTCCGCCGACAAATTCACGTCCATCTTCTCCTCTTCAGATTGTGCGGTGCGGTTAAATTGTTTTTGCTCGTTAAACAACTCACGCATAATATGCGACTTCCCAGAGTTCTGTATGGCATTATTTAACATCAGGAATTGTTTCATGGGAGCTTGTATAAGGACCTCTTTCAGTGCGTCGTCCGTTGAAATTTGCACCAAAGGTGTCGCTACTAACTTAAAAATCTTCGACGATGGGTCCAACATAAGTTTTCTGAGGGCCGTCAAAACGCCAGATGGGGGTTGGCGTTTTTGCACCAGGGCTTCCGCGATCATTCCACGAAAGGCCATACCCGCCAGCATCCTCTCATAATGCACTTCCGAGGATGCGAAGGCGATTAAAGCCATAATGAGGCGGTCGCCTTGTAATTGGTTTTTAGAAGCCGCATCGTCGCCCGAGGAAAGGGGACGCATACTGCGTCGTCCAAGTTCCACCATTACTTTCCATCGCTCTGCAAAGGAGATGGTCTCCAAAGGCGCAAGCAGATTCTGAGTGTCTGAATCGAAATCCATCCTTTCTCGTGTTCTAATGGAGAATTTAATAGAATGTATATGGGGTTTTGCCTTTGTTTTGAGTACAAAAAATATATTTAATAGAGAGAATTTTTATATGATAGCTAGTAGAAATAGAATACTGAAAGCTTGAATAATATATGTTTTTCTTAGGGAAAAAAAGAAAAAGTATATTTATGCGTGCATGATGTTTAGAACATGTACGACAGATCAATGTCAGGTATTCGTATTTGTGTCAGCTAAAACACAGAGAGGGCATCTCAAATTTGCATAACTAAACATGAATCCGCACGTTAAGTAAGGAAATGTTGATATATATTTAGAGAATAAAGGTATTAACACACAGCGAGCAATGTTTTATTGTTTGCATCAGATAACAGCAGCGTTTTATTTTATAATCGATATCCCAGAATGAACCGTTAATTTAATTAATACACCTCTGTTGTACTTTCCTTATTTGGGAAGAATACAACAAGAAGATCCAAATTTGCATCCCTTTCTTTAAGTGTGTAAGTTTACTTCTCACGTCACAATATTATACGAACTGTTTGTTCAATCTGAGATGAAGTCAATCCGGCAAGGAATCATATAAACGGTAAAAAGCTTCTTTAACTTTTAGAAGTGAAATTCAACACTATGACTTTTACACTTAGACAGCAACAATCCTTCAAAATAGTGACACAGACGTGATATCTATTCTCACTTTTTCTCATATGACGCCATGAAATTCTGGGGGTTAGATAAAGAATGAGTTTAGGAGATAACTAAGAGGTGATTTCAGCATTTTTTTTACAGTTGATTTGTTTTATTCTGATGAGCGAAATACTAACAAAATGTTCATCCGAAGAAAAATAATGGTGGGCCAGACTTTGGTTCGAATTCGTGAAAAAGTTCAACGGATGAATTAATGTGAAAATAATATTTCACAACGATTTTCCTATTTTACAATTTCGAAGAGATAGAGTGATATATATGGTGCGCTAGATTTACGTTCTGCGATAAACACTATGGGGTGACACAATTATGTATCTAGAGAAACATTCATGGATGTAAATATAAAAGAGAGAATGCAACACTGACATCCAGAAAGAAAGAAAATATGGGAAACGTTTATACTTGATTTACTAAGATATCGCAAGGGGTTTAATCCACTTTAGATCATATGGAGGGATAAGTAACATAAAAGATGCCATCAAAGTACTGTAAATAGATAAAAAATACATCTAAATGTGCTCTTTTGAGCTTGCTTTTGATACTGGAGAGTTTATTTACGATTATGATATTAATGATAATAACATTATACTCCTATCAATGTTCATTAACAGTGAATCAATCGAAGAATTACCTTGCTTTGACTAAAGAAGATATTCGCCCCTCTATGCGTGTGGATGCAGTGGATAGCTCGTGGTACATATATGTTAATAGCATTTATTCGCAGTTATTATGCTATCGCAACATTGTATAGAAAAGGAACATGATCATTTACTACTTTTCTATGTACAATGTAGCTATTGGCTGTTGCTTTTTCTTCTTCGTATGAACCAAGATGATAATTTTAGCTAATTAATTCTAAAAGTATACATTTTTCAGATTGCCGGATACTTTTTAGTTGAAATTTATTGTTCAACACAAATAATGATAACAGTACCAAAAGCTGAAAGTATCAAACCTAATGCCGATACGAGAGCCTCAAAACCAGAAGATCAAATGTTAAAATGTTTGTTGTAGACATGCTTTCCGTTGCACCAGTTGGTATAATAGACTTTGATAGCTGAAAATGGAGGCTTGTAGAATGGTACCCGAGAACCTTAGCCACAATAAAAAATTTGTGATGAACGCATAAAAGTTAACGGATACAGAAACAATACTTAGTCCCTTAATAACACCGAGGTAGGTTATCAGTTCAGTGTAACCAAGATTCGCGATGTACGCAAAAGACCGGGGTTCAGGCAAATTGTAATTCCAGTTAACGTTTCCCTTACGATGATATCACAACTGTACGTCGGACACTTGTGCATTCTAGATTATTTTGTAAACTCAATGTTAGATATAGCATATTAGCAATGATAAAATAAAGTGAACAAAGGTAGATAACAATAAAATGACACTACACATCCCTAAGGAGCGAGCATCCAATGGGATTGTGATGTTCCCGGCAATGTAGGTAGAACCAAATGTTAGAATCCACGTCATGCCAATTTTAACCTAACTTATATAGGGTTCATACATTCTCATACGGTAACTAGGGTTATTCTGGCATTATTGAAAGAACTGGTAGTAAATACTCAGGTTGAAAACAACAGATATCGAGAGCTTACATAACTGTGCGTTTAGGACTTTTGGCATGCTTCTTCAAAATACAGGCGACACAGACGCCCAGTGTTAAAGAAGCCACAAAAGATTAGCCTATTACAAATACTTCCAGGACTTTTGTGTGTATACGATTAGAGTAACGGTATTTATTTGGTTAAGCTTCGGTAATTTGAGTTTCATCAAGCTTGAACACTGATTAAAATAGAGAACATTTTTTTTTGCTGTAGACTACTATACTTTTGTTCAAGTATTGCTGTCTGCGATGCCAAGGAAGTCCAATTAATACTAAAGTGGGGAATATCAAGAATAAAAAGTATATAGGGCCTAATGAGATGTCACGTGGCGGGTGTGATGGCTTTGAGGGTTCCCATCGAGCTGTTCACTCCCTTTGAATCATCAAATTTGTTGAATGGCTGATTCTCGCTCCTCTCAAAAGCTTTTTTATTCAGTTCTACTGTTCTGATTTCGTTCAAAATATTTGTATACAAAGACTTCTGTATTTTTATTATTATCTTTGGGTTTTGAACACTTATGATGGGTCATTTTAATTTACATTTTGTGATTATTTACCTTCAGATAAACTGATCGCAAGAAGTTTGACGAGGTGATGGAAAAAAACACAAAAATATAGCAAAATACATAAAATATATGATAATAAAAGCAAACATGAGGGATCAGTAATACCTCACATCGAATTTGTATAGCGGGGTAATGAGTCAAGAGTTGTTTTACAGCGTCGCGGTGTATTTAACCATGCAAACACCATGGTGGCGTAGTATAAGTAAAAATGTATATGCGTTCTGGTTTGTAAAGAGAGTGAGCGATAGAAAAGAGTTCATAGTTTGTTCACTTGACCCACAAACATTTACCTCAAAGCATTCTATTGTCTGAGCCCTGCGCCTATACGATTTCACTTTATTAGTCGTTATTATTTTTCTTTTCGAACTTTTAGTATAACTCGCCTCATCCCACCTTCCTCGTCCATATTGGCCACTTTTTCGGTCGTGAGCCCGAATCGTGAAGCACACTGCTCGAACTCAAGGGAGCCGCCGTTAGTGCCAAAGTAGTACATCTTCGTGGCGATAAATGCCACCCCAGTGATGGGACGTAGCCAGCGCTGTAGTAGCTGGCTGAGCTTCCAACACGAGTCATGATCAAAAGTGACATCGCTCCCAAGCACGACGTCGCACCCGGCAACGCATGCATTATCAGCCTTGGTTCCGTTCCCAAAAGGATCCGACCACCCCAACTTTGCCCAGTCCCCATGAGCTAGCTGCACCCGCACTTCCTTTACCGCAACCGACTCTTTTTCATAGAATAGAGGACAGAATTGCGCATTACCTGTGATCGTTGCCCCGAGGTTCGACTTCACACACCGCTCGAGGACCTCTTTGTTATAATCCTGCAGGATAAGAGTCCGTGCGCCGATAGCGATCGCGGCCATGGCGGGTAGTGCCTGGCCGCAGCCAACTTCCGCGAAGACCAGGGAGGACACCTCACGGCCGAACACCCGCGCGGCGTTGTGCCACAGGGCCCCCAGGGAGACCACATACCGCGCCAGGTCCGGCGCACAGGACCACACTTTCAGTCCCCCATAGTACCTTCCGGGGATGATGTCACGAAGCTCGCCTGGGGTCCCTCCATGACCATTCCCGCCCTTGCCGCAACCCGCCGATCCTTCTCCGGGGGAAGAGAGGCACCCCACCAGGTTCCGTAGATCGAGTGCGGTTTGGTAGTATAGCGTGTAGACCCCTTTTTCGCTTGTTTGGAGTTCAAGCGATAAGGGGGAGGGCTTTGGGCCAATGCTGAGGTCAGTCGACCCCGCTTCGGTGGAATCCTTTTTTTTTCTCCCCATTTTACGAGTATGGTGCGTGGTGGATTCATGCCGCGGCGGTTGAACAGGCGATGAAGATGCCAAGGGGTAGCAGGAGAGCCATGATTCCAACACGTCACCGCTGAGCGTGTACCACGGAAAGCGAGCGAGTGGGATTGTCGCTTCAATTTCTGCGTGTGTTTTTGGTGTGGATGGTGGGATATACTCACCGGTATTGTTGTCACCAAATGTAAAAAAGAACTCAGTGTTAGCGGATGATGAGATCATTTTTAAAGTGAAAGCTAGAAATATTGTATGACTTCCTTTGAATGTAGGTGTGCTTTTATGATATATGGAGCACTGAAGAAGGAAAAAGGGAAGGGGAGAGGGAACTAATATCAATGTGAAATAAGCATCTCGTGCGTGCCACTTTATGGTGTACAATGGTGCTGAGAGTGAGTGTGTATTTGAATCTAGGACCGTACAGAGTATATGATATATCTCTATAGTGTCGGAATTTGGAATCGCTACTGCCACCAAACGCAAAAAATAACAATTCTTTTCCAATTTATTCTTAACTGAATGAATATATTCCATTCTTCACGTATACAGTCGACCTAAATTGAAAAACGAGATGTGTTTTACTTGCTGTTTCTCAGCAAATTCGTATGATGTGTAGCCTCGCCCATTTAACATTGTTTCGATGCTTTTAGAGTACAGGTGATTCGTTGAGCCGTTATAGAGATCATTTAATCTTCGTGGAAAGTAAATGCTTAGGTAGAACTGATATGCATTCTGGAAGCGAATAAACGGATTTCGGTGTTTTTGCCGTTGGTAATATAGGCAACGATCAGTCAGTGCACGCAGAGCGTCACCGTCGACGCCGCGCTCATTGCTGTACTGCTTTACGGCATCGTAAAAGTGTCGCGAGTAGGCGTCAACCTGGTTGAGCAGGTTTATTCCATCCTCAAGGCCAAGCGCAAGTCCTTGCATCCAGAAGGGATGACAACTGTGTCCCGCATCCCCGACCATAACAGCTGAGGGCAGCCCAACGGAGTTGAACAAATTTTCACAAAATATGGTTGGCGTATGACGGATGTACGGTGTAAAGGACCTAAGTTCTGCATTGGGGTCGTGATGCGCTACATCTGCGAGAAAATATTTGAGAACTTCTTCGTCGCTTAGCGCTTCGAGTTCGCCAATGGGCATATACACCATCACAGAGAACAGATTGTTTCCATCAATGCGAGGAAAGGCTATACACATCGGGACTTGGTAAGCGGAGCAGACGTGATAGGACTCTACCGTCGTCACTGGATTTGTTTTCCTTTTTCTTAGCCAGCGGTGAATGTGTTCATGACTGAGTGTATCACTTCTAAGAAGGAACCACTTGGTGCCCATGTCGATATCCGTGGCGAAGCCCTCCACATCGAGGAGATCGCGCAACCGTGAGTTTACCCCCTCCGCGCAGATTAATAGGTCGTAGTCCACCGCGTCATCAGCGTACTTGGCATCCCACTTCATAGGGCTGAGCATCAAGCTCGTGTCCCGCCGTCTCTGAGGTTGTGCTTTGGCCTTAAATACCACCTTTGTTGTTCGATCTTGGAGATTATTTGAGCTGTCAGAATATCTGGTTTGATTTAAAGGTGCAGCGCCTTTCAACATCTGATCCATTTCATTCGTTACCGATTGTGTACTTTTCTCCCAGTGGCATATCGCTACCTGTTGCCGCAAAGGATATACCGCCTCGATGACATGCTCATAAAAAACTTGTAAGTTCTGATTAGGAAGTTGGTTGACATGATCCTCAAGATAGCGTCGCAGAGCAAAGAGGTCAATAGAAAGCATCCGAACGGCGAAGGGGTGATGCTCTGTGAGGCCATATGTTAGCCAGCTGTTGTAATCCCCCGGGTGGTCTAGGATCCCGCTCACAGGCACGCCAAGGTATTGGATCATTCCCAGCCGAACTCCAGCAATTTCTAGCACATCCACAGCACGACGAGTCAGAACAGTGTATTCCAAATCAATAAAGGGATGTTGGAAGGGAGAACAGGCCTGTTGACATGGATTACTCATGTCACTGTCCTTTACACCATCATAGTATTCGTCCTGATGGAAACCTGTTGAAAGGCTTGAGCCTTCTTCCAGTGACCATACAAGAGTGTTGGCGTCCAATTTAACACATTGCTTTCCATAAGAAACAACCCTATGAGGAGTTCTATGGCTGTCGATTTTGTCGAAGTTATCGATGCCATTAGAATGACTTTTAGATCCCACTTGGCAGTGCATATTCGTATCTTTTTCTTGTTCGATGAATTCATGAAAGTTAGCCTGTTTTGGGAGACGAGGGGACCTCTCCAATACTGTTGTATGCCAGCCTCGGAGTGCAAACAGTGATCCAAGTGTTAACCCCAGAACACCTGCACCGGATATGATGACGCTGCCTTTCTGAGGGGAGGGTTTTCCCGCCACCACAGGTTGCCAGTGTTCTCCCTTCACAGGGTATGCCCGGTTGCTAATCGTTTCGAGGTAAAGGTCCCGGGGCAGCTCGTTAGATTCCAGCTTACGCCCTGAACCGTCTGTATAACGATTAGTGGAGCCTAATCTCCGAATACAACGACGTAGCATGGGGATTGAATAATAAAGGAATCTTGTACTATCCCCTCACCCAAGGGCGTGTGTGAAGACTGTCAAGGTATGTTGTCTTTTCAGATCACACAAGCTCTATTATGTCTTAATAGGGCGTCAAAGACCACTATGAGGGATTACATCAAGGGAGAGCCGAGGGAAGGGGTATGCAATACACATATGCATATATGCCAAAAGAAAGTTTATTGGATAGAGGTGTACAATTCCATTCACAACTTTTTAGAAGTTTCATCATAATTTAACAATATATATAGTTGGATATATTTTTAATGGCTGGTGTTGAATCCGCATATGACTAAAAGGTCAAAGAAAAAAAGCATGGATTTTTTAAATATTTATTCCCTACTATAAAAGCGATTCGATTTATGGTTCCGATATTGTACTATTTCGTTTTTTTTCTATACTATTTCATTTTTTTTTTTTATATAGGATGCGTTGACAAGCAGTTCCTCAACCTCATCGATAAGACTGCAACTCTTATAGGCATTCACTATATGGGAGGCACTTGCTTCCTCAACGGCCCCAGAGCGGCATGCACGGACAAAGGCTTGCCACAAAACCCGGTGATTATCATCCGAGAAGCGCCGCGGGCGCCGTTGCCTTACACCATCCGTGGTAGAAACCGCCCCTTGAGGTGTGTTGACGACCTTCACCACCCCAGTGCTCAGGAACAGAAAATCCACCATCGCACGGACAGTTAGGCCCTTCTGTTGCCCCCTCTCCCCCCGAGAAATCTGAGCCGCTTTTAGGACGGAGAGAAAGACTTTGACCCCCTCTACACGGGGGTAGGGCTGTTGCCAAAAAAGGCCATAAATGTAACAGGTTACCTCTATGTCTGAGACCGCAGCGTGGAGGAGGAGTGACAGGACGTGCTGTGGGATAGGAGCGCCCCCTTTGAGGGAAACCGCCCGATTTCCCTTGTAAACCTGCAGGAGGTCAAGGCAGATGCAGACCACTGCGATTATCCCTTTTTTTTGCTCAGCGAGTGTGAAGTTCGCTTCCCTCTCATTTTGAGCCCGTTTGTCACTCCAGAATTCGAGCTTTGGCGTGTAAAGGTAGTCTTCCAGACCCTTGGTGAAGCCATCCATTTCCTGGCCATCGATATTATCGCCCCCGTTTGTCGGATTACGACGTAGTCTCTCCAGGAGGCAGAGGAGGATGTGGTGCTGTACCGCCGCAGCCTCACCGCGGGGTAGGGTGTGGAGGGACATCGCCATCATCTCGAGGGCCGTCGAGAAGGTTGGACAGGCATCCACAACAGCCTTGGAGAGGACTAATGGAATGAAGTGTTTTGTGTGTGGAAGGTGCCGCAACGAGAGGAATACCCGCAAGACAGTTTTGCCAGACAAGAGGTTTGGTTGATAGAGCAGGGCGTCAGTGAATATTCGCCATGACGCTTGGAGGGATTGACCACCTTTACTTTCTTTGACAGAATAGGAGCTCGAATTCGAATCTGACGCGGATTTTTTTTCGTGTTTGCCTATTTCGGGCAGCTGCCTCATAAGTAGCTTCGATTCAAGGCGTCTAAAGGCTTTATAGTCGCTTGGTGAGGACGTAAGTAAGCAGGAAACGGCCGATTTGACGGTTTCATCACTCAATGACGCCGTGTGCACATTAGGAATTTCCTCGTAAGTTTCTTGTTGACCATGAATACTCTGATCAACCGCGTTGCTTTGTTGAACCTGATTCCAAAGTTGAGCTCCGTGCGTCGGGTTAATGAGAAGTGTCGTAAAGGAGAGGAATCTTTGCATCCGCTCAAATTCTTCGCGCGTTTGAAGACTTGTCGGCGGATGATTTTCAAAGGCAGCTAAAAGCGCATGCAGAGGGTGTGCAAAAGCAAGCCGTTCAACATAACCTGGTTGACAGTACGCTTCTTGACCAAACTGTGTGGTAGCGTTCGCGATACGGATCTTCAGAATCTGTTCCAATGCTGAGAGAAATTTGATGAAGTTCTCAAAACCTTCTTCTTTTGTGAAGCCAAGATCCGTCTCTTTTTTATCCATTTCAGCATAACCACCTGTGGGTGATCGTGGAACGTACTGATTGGGCGAATCTAGAGAGCTCGCGAAGGATTTGAACTCGTTAGAAAAGCTCCCGCTCCCAGTTGGTCGACTGAGAGATGCGAAAAGTGCAGCCACGGAGACAGGTAGCAGAAGGGTTAAAAGAGGCTTCCCTTCGTCCGTAATTCTCCCGCTGGATTCTCGCGGTCGACGAGAAATAAGCAGTTTTTGGCAGATCCACCGCAGGTCTTTCCACGCCCCTAAAAGAATACAAGTTTGCAATCCACTTCGAACCACGTTATCGTCCAAAAATAATTTTGGGATTGATGCCACTGACGTTGAATCAAGAAGGGAAGTATAGACCAGTTCCCGCACAATTGAGGATAAATTGCGCATGATCGATCGAATTCGCGCTTTATCCTTCTTAAGTGAGCGTAACATGTAATCAATTTTATTATTCTTCTCTTTTCTTAGGGTGTTTGCCCTTTTCCACGGTATTTGTTGTCTTAAAAGTTTTTCAAGGCGTAGCTCCACAAGACACCCTTCCATGACGAGGAGCCGAAGAAACGCCATGAGTGGTCGCGTTACCTCTGTGAGCTCCTTTGATGCCCTCTGCATTACATTAACAGAAGATGCCGATATCAGGTGATTTCCAGCCTCCTCTATGGCGGATTCACAGTTTATTGCACGCATTCTTTCTTCGGAAAACCGCTCTACCAGAGGGGTTTCGAAAAGAAGTTCATAGACATGATATTGAACAAAGTTACACCACATTGTTAGGGATTTAATAGTGATTTGGGTGATAGAACTTTCGTTATTGAAAGTGTCGTTATGATTGGTAGCGAGTTGTGAGAAATTTTGATGCACTTGTGCGATATTGCATAGAGGGTAGATGTTCGTCATCACAAAAGGCAATGAGCGGCCTTTTTGAATAACGTCCAAGCAAAGGATAAGGCTGTTGATCATCCAAAGTGCATCTTTGTTCTCTTTCCTCAGATCAGCCTCTTCTCCTTGGGATGGAATACTTTCTTTATTTTCATTAGAACTGTAGAGGTCAAGGCATTCCCGAAGAATAAACGTTTCCAACTGATCCTGAATATTCAAATCGCCCTGTATGTGTTCAATAGCGCAGAACTGAACCTCGTGTGAGCGCCGCTGCAGGTCTTTGACTTCAGCATGAATCCTGTGGAAGATATCTTTCCAGCTTTCTATGCCAAGTTCTCGATGCGGAGGACTACCTTTATCAATCACTTCATCCGGAATCGTGGATAATAGCAGACAGTTTGATAGAATAAACTGGAGCTGCTCGCCAGGCGTTGCGCGTTTTCTTAGATGAAGGCTCGAATGATGCATAGCCGCATACTTCGATATATCAGCTTGCGGAAGCGTTTCCTCTCTGTGTTTATCGTTATGCTCGTTGGGTTGTAGAACAAGTCTTAATACACAATTCACCCAATAGGGTATTGATTTCTGTGAAAGAGGAGCAACCTCCTTGGATTTTACATACACTCCTTTTGATTTACATCGCATCCCCATCTGAAGTTCCTCTCGATTTCTTCGAAATCGTCTCTCGGATTCCCTCCACATGTTAACTTCAAAGAGTGTTGTATTTACTTCTTCCGGTAGTTTATCACCGGCAATCGAAAGAAGGCATTCTAATTCGACTTCCCCCAGTGCTGGCAACAATTGTCGAGAGGATCCCTTGGGGGAGAAATTTCCTTCTTCCTCTTTTCTTTGCTTTTTCGAGAAAGTAAGGGGATATGGGGTTTCTTTTCCGATCTGAGAACGGAGCGCCTCAACATCGGGAAAGCATTGAGTGATCATCTCGATCGCTGATCCTTGAGTGAAAACACTCCTTAGGAGGTTTCTCACCTTCAAAGGGGAACTTTTGCATGAGTAAAGCTGTCGTCGAATCCATGGCGTCGTTTTAACATGAAGAAACATCCCATTCGGTCGATGAATTCTTGAAAAGGAGGCGCCCTCCTCACCACCATTTGAAAGAAGCGGCTTCATTCTGCTTTCGAGTATTTCTACAAAAAATCGTTCTCCTTCATTGTTCATCCACGTCAAACATGCTTCAAACTCTTCCTTAACACCAGATTCATACCCTTCTACATTCGATATTAAAAACTTTTCAGACGTTTTTGTCGAGCCGCAATTAACGAACCCTCCTCGTGTTATCAAAAACCATATAACCGCCATTCGACGAAGTGTCAGCGGCGCGGCGAAGGGGACCACAGACGAGATAAACATCTCAAAGCAGCGATCTATTGCGGTGATTTGCTCACGCGTAAGACGTCCTTGTCGCCATAACGGTAATAATTCCTTCTGAAGCACCAGTGGAAAGGACAAAAGAAGGGAATACATCTTTTTTTCGTCGTTGTCGTTCCCCACTTCCCCCTCTCTGGCCCTCGCACGGAGAGGGCTATGCGTTCGATCCACCAATTGGGTGTTTAGCCCACCGAAAGAAGACGAATAATTGCGAGAAAAAGGAAGAGAGAACATTGAATCCACTTTGAGGGAGGGCGCTAAACACACAAAAGCCGCTGCTACTAGGGCCTCGTTAAACAATGGACACGTCAGCGAAACAAGATTACGACCAATATTTTTTTCATGCGCCGCACGCTCCTCGAAATTCCTTGGCGGTTGTTGAATTAAGTAATTTAGTAAAAATGTTCCGTTTGAAGACAAAAAATCCTGTTTTTGGATGCTGTGATCATAGCTATCTTTTCGAACCGCATGCGTACGATACCATTGATCAACCTCCGCTATACGTTGAAATGCATGAACGTAAAGAGCTGACTCTTTTTGCCGTCCCCACGTTTTATTACTATGGAAAAAATTAAAAGCGTTGAGCAATTCAATATAAAAGGTCGTGGAGGGTGTCGCCCACGCGAGAATCCAGGGAAAAAAGATGCAGATATTTGCTCCACGATTATTACTCTTGCTATCCGTATGAATACCCTCATGATTATATCCACATAATTCCATATAACAAAGTCTCAGTGCCGCTTCATGGAGTGTTCTGAGTTCACTCGCTCGAAGCTGAGCGCAGATTGCCTGTTGAAAATCGTTTATAGCCTTTAAGTCTTTTTTTACTTTCGAAGATGCCATATCTTCCACAAGGTAGGAGGTGATAGCGTGCACAACAGTAATAAAACAAACCGTGAAGGAGTTTAAGTACACGTATGAATGAGGTCCAGCGCGGTTGGACTTCGCAATGAGATCAAGCGATCGGAAAAGATGCCTATCCTCTTCATTAGATTCCTCGAATAAATATTTTGTCGAATTTTCGTTAGGCATAGATGAATTGTTACGTCTTAAAAGGTTTTCAGAAACTAAGGGTTCTTTTCTACTGTTCGTTTCCTGAATTTTTTGGGAGGCATTGAAGTGGTGATGTAGAACAGCTTGTGGAGGACTTTCGTATAAGACATTCAGCGCAACTACATCACAGCATAATCTTTCCACAATAACAGAAGAAACGTTCTTCGACGAACTATTACTATCTTCATGCGATTTGTCCGATGTGGAAAAGGCATTTGATGAAATTACGCGAAGTACGCACCAAAGTTCTATACGTTTAGTGAGATTTACTACTGAAGGACTTAAATAGTCAATCCCCTTTTTAATCCATAAGTGCCCTTGGATGAATAACAAGTTATTAGCATGCTCTTCCAGCCCCTGGATAACCTCTACGATGTCTCGATTTACTTTGCTATCTAACATATAATCACTTTTTATCTTGGAATACACCTCAGTTTCATCGTATTGAAAGGAGGTCTTCCAAATAAAAAAGAGACGCAGTATTTCCCAGGAGGCGTCTAAAAGCTCCATAGTTTTTTTTAGCAGTTGGTTGTAGAGTTCTATAACTGTTTCACAGCCTTCACTTTTTTTTATAGCCTGTAAGGTGGCGTTTGAAAACCATGAAATGAGCAATTGTGAGAGAAAAAGACGTTCACTCCACACTAAGTATTCCTTAACTGCCGTCTCGATTTCCCTACAAAGCTCCATCTTCGGAGAAACCTCCATGATAAGACAAATCAAGGGTTTTTGGAGTTTAACTAGAACCGCTGCCATATTCTTTAACAGCGTAGAATGGAAATGATAATCATTGGATGAAAAACTATTTCTTTGGCTCACGAAATGATGCAAACGTAACAGTGAGTTTCGTAGTAAAGGCCAATCGTGAAGGACTTCCAAATGCTCACCGCTTGATAATGTCAGTAGTAAATTTATATCTACAGCAATCGCATCATTTTGAAGTTTTCGGAGCCCTTTTATTTTGTTTTTTTTTCTTCCTTGTAATTCCGCTTCACACCATCCTACCGCTTTCTTTATGTCTTTGTATTCGTGAACTTCATCGTTGTGACAGGTTAGCGGGAGCTGAATAAGAGGTACCAACGCGAAGGGCTCCACATGCGCAAGGAGCTCGCGAATCAAGCTCTTTTCACCATCGCAGCATGCCCATTGCATCGCATCAAACAAAACCTGCGCGCTTTTGGTAATAATAATTCCAGATGGAGGATTAATACCCAGCGGTTGAACGATAGTCGAAAAATCATTTTTCGCTTCATCTTCTCGAAGAATTTGTGGAAGAATGGATACAAACAATGGATGTGAACGGGATAGTAGCCAGTTAAGAACTATCTCTCGCACAGATTCAGCATCAGCATGTTTGCATTTCTGGAAAAAAAAGTGAATGACCCTTAACGTACTCTGATTTACATTAATTATTACTTTTTCATGTGTTTTGCTGTGCATTTCAAGGCATTCCGTATTCATTTTTCCATTAAGATGATTGTATGAAGCTGAAAAAGGGGAGCTAAAAAGCTGAAGAAGCTTTAAACACTGCTGATGTAACACGTATCTTTTAGCTCCTTCTGCTGTTGATATGATGGATATCATACTTAAAATAACATTCACGATGATAATTACTATTGTTTCCAATTCAATCGAAATTGAAAGAGCTGGTGATAAAAAGCTCCGAATTTTAATATTTTTCTGAATACAGAAAAGATCCGCCTCGTGCTGTACGATATCGTATAAATGTTGAATAAGCTGATTTAAAGCTGCGGTAGGGAGCGATACACTACTCTGTAGGAAATGTATAACATCGACAGCCTCCTCCACGAGCGCTTTATAGTCTCTTAAAATCATTTTCTCTTTTTTTTCTTTACTGATTAACTTCAAGTGCAATCGTCGAATACCTTCTTCTAGCAGAGCATCCTGAAAGGGAACTATAATTTCAGCGTTCAGTACATTTTCCAAGATAGCATCATAGCCATCGCTGCAGATAAGAGAAAGTGCCATGAAGTTCGCTATGGCATTACCAGCTTCCTTTTCCCCCTTCGCCATTGTTTTTTCTTCTACATTAATCTTTCCTAAATTCATCATATTACTATCACTACTTTGAATTTGAAAACACATTATACTTTTTTTTTGAAGTCCAGTAACCATATTTATGGCTCTTGAAGGGCTTAATGCGCCAGACTTCAATCCAATTCTTACAACTTTAAGGGCGGCAAAGGGGTAAGAATAGTAAAATGTCTCATACGCAAATTCTACCGCAACCGCTGTAATATTTGCCCAAGCTGATAATTTTTTAGTTTCGACAAAAATATTAAGAATTACATCTGTGGTAGTAGTTAATATTCTTGAATATGGAGCTATACGACGTAAAATATCCACGACGAGCGCTACGAGTAGCATATCTGGATGACGGATGGTGTGAAAATGATTAAGGGTGTCTTTTTGAATCTTATCAATATTTTCCGTACTTAAATGTGTGCCACAAGATCTGGAAACAGGTCTTTTACTTTCATTATCGACATTATAAAAAAGAATGTCGTGATCATTCGTTAATCTAGATAGCGGGACCTTGTGAATGGTGTATAATATTTTAAGAAGTGGCATGTGCACCGCTGTTAATAGAAATTTGCATGATATCTTCTTATTATTGTGTATATATCCAGCGTTTACATATAAGCAAGCAGAATATAGTTCTTTCGTCTCCATCGCATTGATACACCTTTTCACATATGCACTATAAACACGCATCGAAAGCACTTCCGCGTTTCTCAACGCTAAAGAAGACGCTAGGATACCAGAATAATAACATAAATAGCGGCGATGATGTGCGTTGATTTGAATGGATTGAATTTGAATAAGACGCAGCGCGGCATCATAGAGTTCAGCAGGATGATGGAGATTGTCCTGAATGTTGTTCTCAGAGTTTGCTTCTAGTTGGACAAGTTCCAGAAGAAGGGGTAGATTCCGCGTCGCGACGGCGGCCTGTGCGACAAGGACCATTGCTCGCGGAGGCATCAAGGTCTGACCCCTCCATTCCTTTCCCTCTTCTTGGGTGTATTTATCCCTTTGTTCGTTG